CTCTCATAATTACATAGAAAAACTAGTACCCATTTTAGACCTTGATTTCCCGTGACTTCTTCTTCTCCTGTCTCTCTCTCTCTCTCTTTCAACTCTTGACCTATCTTTCTCTCTCTACATTTATTGAAAGTTTAGACTTAGAACGTTGTATTTTTTTCATTAATCTTTGGGGCAATACCAGCCGTTTTAGTAGTTAGTTTTTGGGCTATTGATTCGATTCTAGGAGATGTGCGTTCATGGTGAGGAGAAGGGGCGATGGATTCAGGCTTGGAGAGGCCGGATTAATAATTGTCACTGTTAAGTCTTTAAGCCGATGCCTTCGTTTTTTAGCACCTCATACCCAGGGAGCTCGGAGTGATTGCTGTTTTCAATTATTTGGTTTTTTTTGTTGTTTTTTTAAGATAATTTTGCAGAATGGTTTTGATGGGGAGGAACAGGGGCAAAATAATTGATAATAGGAAAGCCAGAAAGAGGCCCAAAAGTTCTCGAAATGGGGATTCTGATGATTCAGATGAGGATTTTGTTCCGGAAGAAGGAGAAGAAGAAATCGATTATGACTGTGATTACACCGGGTATTCATGCTCATCGAGGGATGAAACAGAGAGAAGCTTGGATTTCTCTTCGACCAGTGAGTCAGAGGGAAACCGGAAGGTGTCGAGGGCAAAACCCAGAAGAAGGTTTGCCGGAAAGTCCGGTTCTAGAAACAGAGGCAAAAGGTCCGGGGTTAGGGTTTCGAGTGAGGAAGACGAGGAGGAATTCAGACCTGATTCAGATGAAATGGAGGATGAAGAGGATATTGCAATTTCAAAGGGATTTCGATCTGTGAAAAAAGTTTCAGCGAAGAAATCTATTCGAAAAAGAAAGACCAAAGTTCCAACCAGGAAAAGAAAGAAGAAATCAAGGAGCAAAAAGGTTAGGAGAAGAGTGATGTCCATTTCTGATGATGATTGGGATGACGATGACGATGACTACATTGATGACGATGATGATGAATTTGTAATCGAGAAAAGAAGCCTCAGGGGAAAGAAGATATCGAAAGCAAGGCGAAGTACAAAATCAAGACCCAAAAGAATTGCAAAGCCAAGAGCTTTATCTGATTCCGATTATAAGGTTTCTGAATCAGACCCGGATTTCACACTATCTGAAAAGGAAATTGATGATGAAATTGAACCTGCAAGAAAAGCCAATGACCGTGTTGTTCTACGCAGTCGTCCTAGAAATTCATCTTCCTTGAAAGGCCATTTCGAAGAAAGCAAGAAGATGGAATTGTCCAGAGTTAGGAAAAATTCGTCTTCCTCAAAAAGGCACGATGAGGAATGCAAAATGAGAGATGGATCTGCAGTGCGAAAGGGAAAGGAGAAGGTTGAGAGCTCGGCAAGTTGTTTGGGCAAGAGGATATGTGGTATATGTCTTTCAGAGGAGAGAAAGGGAAGTATTCGTGGTTCCTTGAATTGTTGTGATCATTACTTTTGCTTTGGGTGTATAATGGAATGGTCGAAGGTGGAATCTCGCTGCCCGATATGTAAGCAAAGGTTTGTGTCCATAAATAAGTTTGGAGGAGTGGATACAGGAGTAAGGAGCATGTCAATTAGGATACCCAAGCGTGATCAGGTAGTGTTTTTACATCTCTGTTCCATATATAACTTGAAACTTGGTTTCAGTCTTGACTTCTCTTTATAACTCTGTTTTATCATCTGCTACTTTATTCTTCCATTTCCCAGTTATTAAACTAATTTTGAGATGTACAGAAACTTCTATTTCATTCATAATGTAAGTCTAACATGACAAATAATAGTATGTGTGCATCGTTAAAGTGCTCCATCTCTCCATTAAGACATCCAATTTATTTTACAAGAGAGACTATAGACTCTGAACAACAAAGCACATAAAATTATGCGGCATTTTACCTTCTCAACTCCAATATAGCAAAAATATATTAATGAGTAGTGACTACATTACTTGTATAAATTTGGTAGAATTAGACAACTGAACTTCTTGTAATAATCACACAATCTTGGGAAAGACTTGGCTGGATCATTTGAATATTAGTTCTACTCCAGGGTTTCAAAATTGGTGCATCTAGAGTATTCAATAAAATATCAATTTAGCAGAAGCAATTTGACAGTAGTTTGATATGTTGCTTCTTCTTTTCTTTTTGTTTCTTTTTTTTGGTAGTTCAATGAGATGATTCAACCTTCAGACGAACTGCTGTAGTTATCTTCATGTTAACCAATCAAGCCCGAATTTATACGTTTGGTAATTTGTCATTCATAATTTCAAACATATATGAATTGAGAATCCATCTATGGAGATCAATGATGAGTTCCTTTTATCCAATTTCGTTCTATGACATGCACTAAATGATACAAGTATCCATCACTTTTTAATGATTTCGTAGGGTTTAAGACTCATCTCTGACCCTGACTTAGTTTGGTCCAGGTCGATTGGACCCGGAGGTCGGTCAGGTCCAGTTTGATAATTTATATACAAATGGATGTGGTCCATATAAGGCTTCAACCTTTAACAATCAAAGTAAGGAACAACTTTAAATCCTGCCAAATGATGTAGTTCCGGTAAGCCCTTATGATGGCCTAAAATCTATAATAACCCCTAATTATAAAATTTAAAGATCCTAAAATGGTGCCGATGGAGATCTATTAACTCGTTTACAAATTATAGGAATGGTATTTTTGTCATTACAAAACCCTCCAAAAGTCAATTTCAAATTTAAAAATATTTATTTCACTTTTTTTAATCATCTTTGAATTTGAGGAATAACTTAAGTTACAAATATGCATTTTTTGTTCTTAAGTCAAAGAAGCTCTTTTAAACAAATTTTTGTTATTGTAATTTTTAAATTTGTAGGGGCATTTTGTAGTAAAATATTTGGTGTAGGAAATTCTAAGTTCACTATTAGAGTGGTGTAGCCTCAAATACCCCGTCGGTGCATGCGTGCATGCATGTGTATGATCCTAAGCAAGTGGGGTCCTGGTCAAGTGTACCTGGACTGGCCCACAGGGTCCACTTGGGGGGTCCCAACCCACATCCAATTTGCACCCCAAATCAATGATACTTTTTTATATGTTCATATCCTCTGATATCTTGTGTTATCTGTAAACTACCTGTACCATTATTCATTGAAATAGCTCCAACTTCTTAATCAGGGGTTGACTGTGATCAACAGGTTTATGAACCTTCAGAAGAAGAATTAAGGGGTTATCTTGACCCATATGCAAATATTGTTTGTATGGAGTGCCAGCAAGGTGGCGATGATAATCTTATGTTACTTTGTGACATTTGTGATTCTTCTGCGCATACATATTGTGTCGGTCTGGGGAGAGAAGTACCCGATGGTAATTGGTACTGCGATGTTTGTAGATGTAATGACCCCGGTGAAGTTCAGGATTCTATGGTGAACCAAGCCACTATTGATATTGGTTTAAACTCCAAGCAGTCTACGGGTGTTAATGACAGAGATGGGTTCACCTCCCCTCAACCCATGGGATCTTCACCTGTACAATCAAGTCCTTATCCTGAAGTTTGGTCACAAGTGTCTCGTTCAACTGTATCAGGTCGAAGAAGGTTGCGACGCCAAATCCATGTTTTGCTCTCAAATAACCGAATGTCCCAAACAGATGAAATTGCTGACAATGCCTCTCTTGATGCTTTAGGGAATGGGAAACCAAGTCTTGGTGAGAGTTCCTCCAGGCTTATGGAAGACCCAGAGGCCTCAATTGGTTTATTGAGCAATTCAAGGAGGTCAGATTGTCATGTTGTTAATAATAGCTCAGATGAGGGAAAAGTGGCCGTTTTTGGATCTTGTGCTCCATTGTCATCTTGTGCAGAGCCTCATGTAAATGGTTTCCGAAGAGTTGAGGGTGCCAAGAAACTAGTGTTTGCCATGGTGAAAGACCATTTAAATGGTTTGCTCAGGGATGGGATAATAGGTATGTCATCTTCCTTTTGCGATGGATTGTGGCAATGTTTAAAACCCTGAACTCCAGCTCAGACTTACCAGGATCCCAAGCCTGAGTCATCTAGTCTGACTCAGGCAAGTCTTGAGTCTGAAAATTTAGGGTTTGGCAGGAGACTGGGGGGTTCCAAGTTTGTCCTCTGGAATCACAAAGGTCCTGACCCAAGCTCGTAATTTTTAAACACTGGATTGAGGCATAAAGTATAGTGAAGGAAAAGTATGCTGGAATCGATGCCTGCCGGAAAACCATAGTCCATTTGGGTGGAATGAGTGGGATTTACCAGAACAGGGAATGACCCTCGTGGCGGGTCCCACTGCCCATCTTTTCTTTTTTTTTACCTGAATGATGATGATTGAGTGGACTATGGTTTTCTATAGTCAGTTTGATTATAGCACACTTTCCCATAAAGGTAATGTTTGTTGATTAGTTGTTACTAGATGTTGATTGCTGTTATGGTGATGACTGACTGATTTTGCTGAGGTTGGGCTTGATTGTTTTGTTATTTAATCAACTGTGATAGATATAGTTCAGTTGACAAACTCATTTTTTGCATCTCTCTTTATAATATGAGAATGATAAGTGAAATGTGGTCATCAACAGAGATGCAAATGAGGACCTTGTGTTTGTTTTTACTATGTTATTTGGAAGTATTTCCTAATTAGAGTTTGAGATATTGCAAATGATGATGGTGGAGGCTTTGGACATATATTTTGTTTCCTCATTGTATGTGGACTATAGGATTAAGGGACCAATTTTAATCTCAAATTTTACATAACAAATCATTTGCAGCAGGTGTTATCATTGCTCACTTGTAATAATGCCTTCAGATAGGCAGTCAGTGCCCATACCTGGAAATTGAGTTAATTGGGAAGTTATATGTGTATTTTCATTATATTCATCTAAGGCCTGTGCAAAGTTATTTAACCTTTGTCAACCATTTAGAGCAAAACCCCATCTTCCGTTGCGAAGAAAAACGGCATGGTTCATAAGTTACATGACATCTCCAAAAAAGTATGTGTTCTCCTGAAGTTGCACAACCCAGTTTGAGATTTAAGATTAATTGCTATTAATTCTACATTGTCAAGAGCATCTCTTTATCACAGATGAAGAAAGAGCTGTGGCATTAGCTATTTGTTAGAAAAATATTTTCTACTTGTCCTAAGACATTCCAATTATGTTACTTCTACCCTGGCCTGGTAGGTGGAGGATTGAGAGACATTGTCTATTAGGGAAAGCTGCCCTCATCCCTTTGAGTTGTACCTCTTAAACGTGCCATGTAACTTGATGCAATTGAATCAACGAATATTGTTATTTCATGGGGAATCTATGACATGCACCTCTAAATTTAGAAAATTCATTCTTCGCAGGCTAAATTCTCCTGAAAACTGACTCAGGAACATCTGTTTCCTAATAATGATGCACTTTCTTTTCTTGCTGGCATTTGACCACTTTGTAAATTTTCTCAAATTGTTGACCAAAATCATCTCAATCCCTTAAATTTTCAAAATGGTCTATAACATCTCACCGTTCCACTTTTTTTTCTGTTTTTTTTTAAGATATTCGCCCTTTAAATAAGAAAGCAACCTCTTCAAATAAAATTTGTGTTTCTTCACCTGTATCTGATTACCTGTGCCTGCAAAGTAAAAAGTATGTGAAAGTATTCATGATTCATTCCCGTCTTGCACATCATTAACTTGGGTCTGATGCGCTCAAACCAGGACAGGAACTCCTCGTTATAGCAAATCCCTGTGGAGCTTATCAGATATAGTTTACTGAGGGGCCCGTTTGTTGCTTACAATCAGCTGATCAATCCCCTACCCACAAATGGCCCGGGCCTTATTTTTGGCTGTGCTTTTTATCATGCAAGCTTCTGCATACCCGTTTCATGGACTTCTTTTTCTTGTGATGTCAAGCTCTTGGTTGTTAGATATACTATTTGGGAGTGACTTTGGATGTGCGTTGTGAATGCATGAGAGGGAATCTGAGAGACAGCGAGTGGCCATGCACTCATGGGTGCATGCATGAGAGCGAATGAGAGACAGTGAGGTGCCTAAATATTGTTGTAAATTGTAAAAATTTGAGAACTTTCATTGAATTCTTCTCAGAGGAATACACAACACTTGAATCATAAGTTTTTGTGTCTTGGTGCAGGGAGAAGTCATTTCAAGAAGATCGCTAGGCGTTGTACCCACACCATTTTGGCAGCCTGTGGAATCAAGCACAAAGAGAGCATAGCAATATCTTTTCCACCCCCTGAATGCTCTCACATTGAGGAAAACAGAGAATATGCAGAGCTGATGAGAGGTGTATGCTCCTCATGTTTTAATACCTTTCTGAAGGATGTGGTTCTCAGGCTTGAATCTATAATCACTGAAGTAGAGGACTAGAGATAAGGTAGGGGAAGGACCAATGAATAAAATAGGCAGAGGGTGAGAGCCTTTTTTACAAGGCTTTGAATAATAGTGTGACTATTGCTTCTCTAGCACCATAACATTTTTTTGCCCCCCAACAGTTCTAACAATTAAACTTGATTGTGGAAGATGAGTAGGAACTGTTTTAGACTGGCAGAGCCTGCCCTTGATGAGTGTAACATGTTGCTATTTTTCTCATTATTGAGCATTAGAGCTGAACTTTATTTAGAAGTTTTCTCAGATTGTGTTTGATTGTTTTTGTGTTCTCATGTTGCTGCTTTGAAATGGATGTGCGCCATGTTAGTAACAGATAGGGATTGTTCATGTCCATTTGCATGCATACGAGAGAGAGAGAGAGCTCTGCAAGCATCCCCAAAGGAACAGGAAAGTCTCCTCATTTGACATATTCAAAATTTAACACTTCTAACACATGCTCTTAATAAACTCTAATTAAGTTAGAAAAAAACTTTGACGATGATGATGAACGCATGCTCTTAATAGAACAAATTGAATACTACATGTTCTTATTAGAACAAAATGAATAGTACAATCTTTCTCTCTCCTCTTATCGGTCGACATGCTTGTCCAAGAATGCCTGTGCAAGATTGCTGAAACTCACACTAACTGCCCCAGCTTCAGCATATTTCGTAATAAGCTCCACAACCTCTGCCTTCAAAATCTTGGCTCTGGTTGTTGGATTACAGAGATAGTAGAGAGATGCGAGAGCATAATTGACCTGATAAACACAGCAAAGAACCTCAGTCCAAAAAGCAATGGTAGAAAATCGTTTAAGATGAAAGGAATAAGAGTGAATTTTCTTATTAGTCAGATTGCTTACAGTGTTTGTTACTGGGCTGGATAAGCATGTTATGATCAAAGGGATTCCACCACTCTGCATTATAACTTGCGCATTTAATGGATCTGCATTGATTTGAAAACCAGAGAAGAAATATGAATCGTCAAAGTCAAAGCCCTTTGATCTTTGGAGAGGAGACCGACAAGATGCAAGGGAGTAACAGAATGAGAACAAAGTGTCCCTTAAGTTAGCACAGTACGGTAAAAATGAAAATTCTTGGGATCTTATGAAGTCTTGGGGCCTTATATTCTTCTGCAATTCCATAGATTTTTATTCATTTTCCAAAGGAAAAAATTTATATAAGGTTGCAACCTTATACTATAGAAGTAAGTGCATTTCCAAAATCCAGTAAAAAAGAGTGTTCCAAAGTTGGGAAATCTTCCAATTTTTCATCTCAACATCAAGATATATAGATATGAGGGAAAAAAAAAAGACTACTTAAGTCATAAAAATAATGCATCTTATAACGGGTTATCTGGAACCTCTATTTTCAAGCATTTATAGATAAGGAAAATTGTTTCATGCGGGCTGGACCGCATTTCTACAATATGCGGTCCACAGGTATAAAGCATCCATCTTAAAGATGGATGCACATAGGTGGTTCATCTAAAAAAAGTTGTAACTAACAGTCCAAATGTAACTTTAATGTAATTATTATTTCTAGTTTTCAATTTTTTTATTTTTGTTTCTCATATTCATGATCTCCATGTTAAAGATTATATATTCTCTAAAAATCAAGATCAAATTATATTTAAAAAAAGAAAATTATTGCCAAGCCTGCATTTCTACAATATGTGGGCCGGCTGCATAGAAACCGTGTCCTATAGATAATCCTTGATTTGCATCATTTTTGGAAATACAAAGTTCATAATTAGACTTGAAGATGGATTTTCAAGCCATAGTAAGGTCTCCGACACCAGAACTCGATCTTCTGGCAAATCTTAAAGGTGTGGCTTACTTGTATGGTATAAGGTGGGCACCTTATACAAACCTCCCCCTATTCCAAAATGCAACAAAAACCTTCTTGTTTTCATTGAAATGGCTGTAGGCAACCATAGTTTAACAAAGCACTCTGCTCAAGAAAACGCATACTGGGGACCTCTGAGAATAAAATTATCTAACAAAAAATGATATAAACCTTATTTTTTTAGTGGACATTGATGATTAACTTACCAACACAAGCATTACAGATTCCACCGACCCCAAACTCCACCAACTTCTCATTTGGCTCTGTTATGCAATCCAAAAAAAGCTCCAAAACATTCAACTGTTTATATCAGAGAAAAGAACAGAAATAGTATCACTACAAACTGAATAGTGAATTCATGCTTAGTATTCATTGGTTTCCATTCAAGTCATACCTTGCGTAGAAATGTGTAATTGTAAGGATCATAAGCAAAATTAGCCAAATGTTGAACTATTCTCTCCTTTGATTCTGCAGAATAAGAACAACTTAGAATACTCTAACTCAATCGCAATAGCACTTCTTAAAAGAAAGAATTGGTGGCCCCATATAATATCCATATTGGACTGCTGAACTTCAAAATATCATTTTGTTCATGAGTGCGACAATACATACAAATATCTATCCAAAGAGAAAAACAAAACATAGTAAACTGATATTCCTGACTGCAAAATAACATGCACTCTGTAGGAAACATCGCCACCAGACATCCATTTCTTTAACGTGCTACTATTTTCTGTCTTTTTAATTCGTTCAAGCGATCTCTGCTTGAGTTAGAGCCTAGATCTCAACTAGCTTTCTTCAACTTCAAAGTATTGATATAAAACAATATAGTATATTAAGATATCCAAAATTAAGGTCAAAACTTAATTCCTCCTTCTTCCTTTTCTTTTCATTTTTATTTTTACCTTCATCAGTCGCCATCTGAAACTGAGTCACCAGCTCCTAGAATAACAAGTGAGAATTACAGATTAAGCTCAGAAACCATTTAGTATACAGAGTTAAACTGAAACAAATAAAGTACCCAAAAGTTTAAATACACAATAAAAAGCATGAATCCAGAAAAAAAACACAGAAAGATTTAAAAAATCCCAGCTTCATGTAACGTGAAACTTCAATAAAGCAATACATACAGTGAGAAAACAAGTTCACAACCAAGAGTTAAAGCGATCACATTGATACAACTGTCATGAATTATCCCAATAATAATGCAAATATTATCAACTCTTTCACCTAGGAACTTCAAAGCTTCTGAAATAAAATCTCTTTTAACATGCAGTTTACTTGATGAAAGCCCAGTGAGCAAAATCAAGCAGAATGATCCGCTCACTGCAACAATTCTTTATTGGGAGAGTATAATTAAAGACAGTAGATTGCAAAGAACAGCAGGTTATTGTAAATGAGTGATTCAGGTCAAGCACTCAAAGGAATTTATTTCTCAGCATCTCATTGATTTAGAATAATAATTTAAACCATGGTTTAAATTCCTTTATTTAAATTTCTTATTAATAGAAATAAATAAATTAAGGAATCAAAGACCTTAAGAAATAAGAAATTAAAATATAATTTAATAAAAATATTTCCTTTTTAGGATTTGGGGCTCAACTAAACTTGAGTTATTGCACATATTAATAAAGTGATCAAGTATATGTGCCCCAAATTTCCTTAGTGGGTAAATCCTAATCTTGACGGAAGTCCAGCATTTTTGGTCTGTAAATTTTTGTTAAATTTCTTGTAATTTTAGTAATTTGAGATTGTTTGGGGCACATAACTTGAAAAAAACAACAAAACATGAAAGAGATAAACAAACAAAAAACATTAAAAAAAAAAAAGAACAATAGGACTAATGAAAATCCTACATGCATCAAGCTCTTCTTTAAGAGAAAGAAAGAAGAAGAAAAAAATCTTACTTTTTGCATTAACTATTAAACCAAACTTTTCTTTGTTAGTTGGGGTGAAATCTTTGTATGTAGTTCCTCAATTTTTATTTTATTTTTTACATGGGAAAGATGAGCAAAAGAAGAAAAAGCAAAACGTTGAAAGAAGAAAAGAGGGGCATGAAACCTGAAGGTATTGTTCTCTGGGGGTGCCGTACTTCCCGGTGCGCTCTATTTGTCTCCCTTCATTTGTGAACATTTTCTGTATTCAAAGGAAGTGATGAATCAAACAGACTAGCAAGAGGGGAGAAAACCCATCACTGATTTTGTCGTTTTTGGACCACAGATTCATGAAACACAAAAGAGCTGAAGCATGAAAATTAGGAATTTCACGAGGGTAGAATATTAGCGGCTATGGAGATATATTTTCTAGCCCCTTTCAAGCGAGAGAGAGAGAGAGAGGGAGAGGGAGAGGATCTGCAGAGGAGGGCAAATTAAGGGCGATACGATTTTCCCTCGGTCGAAAGATTATATGTTCCTGCGGGAGCATATTGTCTGTTCACTCAATCGGGTAAAATCAGCATTTTAAAACCCGGATCCATGGGACCGATTGTTGACCCATGAATCTATAGTTCCAAAACCAGGATCCATGGGACCGATTGTTGACCCATGAATCTATAGTTCCACCGGAATGGTGATTCGAATCTGGTCGAGATGGATTTGAACAGAAATAAAAACATATATATTAAAAATAAATAAGATAAAAATAAAAATTTATAGGGTGACAACTTAAATGGACCCAAAAAAACATCATGCTAGCTTAAATACAAAAAAAAAGAAGAGAAACGATGCTTTAGGGTTCGTACGGCGAAATCGGGTCTTGACCTATAAAGACCTAGAATTGATTTGGTCCTATCCCATTCCTATCTGGATTAATGATTCAAATTGAAAATCGGTGGATTTAAAATTTTTGAGGACCCCATTTTTGGAACACGACGACCTGGTGACCAACCACAAATAGAAATAGAAATTTTATGTAGTGATGATATTGCACATGCTAATGTACCATTGAACAAGAGTGAGCGTTTAGATGGGTAAGATCTAAGGTTTAGGAACTTAAAATTCTCAATTTCTTTTTTGAAAAGTACTCGTGTTTTAAAGTGGGTTTTAAAATTGGGCAATGATTTTATGCAATCGTTGTATAGTTATATGATGCAATAATTTTAAAAAAATATCTTATGGCCATGTGTTTGATCTAAATTTTGAAATATACATTCTTTTCATTCTAATGAACAATCATAAAAAAAAAGAAAAAATGAAAAAACAATCTAGAAAGTATCTTTTTAGCCCAATTAACATAGGCCATTTATTTTGGTAAGATACGTAGATCTAGGCTTTAGAAAGATTTTTTTTATTTTCAATTTTTTTGAATGGCTTTATTATCATTAGATGAACAATGTTAAAAAAAAAAAACATGATTTTGATTTTATAAAGGCTCAAAAGTTGAAATTCATAAAATGAATAGTTTAGGTTTTTTTTTTGAAGGGACTCATTTTAATCATATGTCGGGTTCAAATTGAATTTTTTTTTCTGAGTGATTGATTATTGAGATGAAGAGAGTGTGTGTACAAAATTTGAGATCATACAAATACTACAAATATAGTTTTCTAAAAGTGTCGTTACATTATACTATGATACAACAGTTGCATTGGGCCATTGCTCTTTAAAATATTAGATTAAAAAAAAACCAGTATCCCTAAGAGTATGTGTGCAATGTGCTCACCAAGATGACAGTATGCGTACTCTTTTCCCTCCCTATGAAATGGACACGTATAGCTCACGATGCCTTTTCCCTTCTATGTATATCGGCAATTATGAATAGGTATATGTGATATAGGAATAGAATTAAAGATGTTTTAATATTGAAAAGCCATCGTCTCGACATCGAGATGGATGAATATGAAAATATATATATATATATATTGTGTTTCATAAATAATGTATCTTATAACACATTATTTAGACCATCTATTTTCAAAATTTTCATATATTTATAGATCTACTTGACTCTAACTATTTTTTGGAGTTTAAAATTTTATAATCAGAAATAAAAATAGATTTTAAGATAGTCCTAATAATTTTTTTACACTAAAATTATATGTTATGATAAAATTTGGAGGTACGCCTTAATTGGATTGTTTAAGGTTGCAACCTTATAGAAACTACATCCAAATATTCAAAAGGCAAACTTCTTATACTTCACCATCTATATATATTTTTTCTTCTCCCATTTCCTATGTTTGAATGGATGGCTGGAATGGACTCAGCCATAATATCACAAGCAAGGCACTAACCATGTGATCTAGATCTAGTAGGTCAGAGTATTTTATTTTTTATTTTTATTTTATCAATCATACGAAGATGAAAATTGATATTTATCTTCATCTTAATGGGGCACACCTAATTTTAAAGAAAAATATCGATGGTAAATAAAAATAATTTTATAGTTCTTGATCGTAACCCCTCAAACACGTTGTTTTGGCAGAGGTACCAAATATTCAATTTAATCCTACGGGGCACCATATCTTTCACCAAAACCTTTGATGAAAAGGTCACAGAAAAATAAGTATATTTGGAACACCATGATGTTGTTTTTTATGATATTTATGTTTTTGCATAGAATTCAGAAAGCGAAAAAACCAAGGTTTAACATTGGGAGCGGAGACGGGAAAAGAAGCAAAGCTTCGCATCGGGAAAAGGTCACAGAAAAATCCTGCCAATGCCGATGCCGATGCCGATGCCGATGCCAAAATTTAGAAGTCATTTGTGGTGAACGGAGTCCTCGCCATTTTCGGGAGACGGTTGGTCACCACATCGTGGTTTCCATTTCAAGTGCCAGCATCCATCCAGTTGTTTCATGCGGGCTGGACCACGTCACTACATGTGCAATTAAAAAAAGTGTAAAGCATTCATCTTTTTTTTTTCTTTTTTTTACAATATTTCATCAGTTTTATTAATCAAATAAAATTACAATATAATTAAGTAATCAAAACATCCAAAACAACCAAATCTTACATCGCACCTCTTCTCTTAGCTAAAGCATCCGTGATTTCATTCTCATCTCTATAAACACTTTGGAAGGTCACGGTCATATCTCGACTCAACTCAACTCCATTACTTTCATTCATTCCAACCGTAACTTCCAAGGCAGTCTAGAGACACATTTACACGAATGAACCATATTTAGGGAATCACATTCTATCACGCATCCTTCATGTAAGCCTCTATTTTTTAAAGTTAGGAACCCCTTTAGCACCACAATCAATTATGCTTTATTAGTTGTTTTTACACCACACAGAGCTGCAAAGCATAAAATACACGGTCTAAAGTGATTCTTTACCACACCTCCAAAGCTTGCTAGTCCTGGATTCCCAAATGAGTTCCCATCACAATTCAATTTTATACTTCATCACGTTTTGCATCATTAAATTCCTCACTTTCACTTTCATGTCAACTTTCGAAACCCCAAAACCTTCATTTGTTAAAGAGAACCAACTCCAAATTGTATACTAATTCTCTTCTTCAACAAATCCCTCTCCATTACCCGCCCTTCAAATACCATTCTATTCAGTTCCAACCAAATCTCCCAAATGACTGCTGCCCTTCCAATCATGCTTTCAAATTGTAAAACATCCATCTTTAAGATGGATACAAGTAGGTGTTCCATCTAAAAACAATTGAAGCTAACGGTTCAAATGTTTTCTTATTTGAATTATTATTTCTAGTTTTAAAATTTTATTTATTTATTAATACTCATGATCTCTATGTTAGAGATTACATGTCACATATCCTTAAAAATTAAGTCCAAAAATCCATCTTAAAAATAAATTTATTGATAGGCCCACATTTCTACATATATGAGCTTGGTCGCATAAAAACCGAGTCCTCCTATTAATACATTAAAAAAAATTAGCTCTTAAATTATTTTAAAAAATGGGTAGGGGCTGTCTTCCCAAATGAATTACCAAAACAAAATTCCTGACTATTTTCATTCATCTCCTCCGAGGTTCTAAAAATGGTCTATTAGATTGCGTAACTTTCAAGGCTGATTTCTTTTAAGAATCAGGAATGGATTGCATCACTACCAGTGATTCCAAAGTCGGTGGCGAGTCAAACTAGACTCGCCTGATTCGACTCAGAAACCGGCACACCCATGTTGGCTCCAGTGAAATAACGAAAATCATCCGGGTTCTAGAGAAGAACCGGCGATTCCATGCCATAAAGGATTCTTTGATTCATGACATCATGGCTTGCCGCCGATTCTTCAATGGGCATTTTTGTAAATCGTCATGTGACGTCATGAATCTCCCGGATTCTTCAATTCATGACGCCGATTCTTCAATGGGCATTTTTGTAAATCGCCATGTTCGATTCATGACATTATGCCCCGCCGATTCTTCAATAGGAATTTTTGTCGATTCTTCAATGGGAATTTTTGTATCGCCATGTTCGATTCATGACATCATGGCCCAAAATTACAGAAACTTAAGGAGCGCACACCTCAGCATGTGACTCCAGACTCCTCACTTCACACGTGTTACCATGGTTGGGTACAAAGAGGTATTTATTCACTACAGCTTCCTTCTACCTCTTCGATGGGGGATAATGTGAAGGTATTAACTTGAAACATTAACATATTATATATTTTGTTTGCACTTTTAATGACATTAAGTAGCATGTGGCTTACTGGTTATGCTTTTTGTGTGTGGAGGGCGTTAAGGTTCTCTCATCAGTTATTTTTCTTGTCATGTCAAATTTATTTTTTTGACGCCAATTTTTTTTCTTATAAAAAAAATGAAAGATTTTTTTTATCAATTTCGCTTTTTGTCAAATTTTTTTCTTATAAAAAAAATGAAAGGTTTTTTTTATCAATTTTGCTTTTTGTCAAATTTTTTTCTTATCAATAAAATAAAAAATTTCCTCTAAAAAAAAAATGAAAGGTTCTTATCAATTATTTTTCTTGTAAAATTTCTTTTTTTTTGTCAAAAAAATAAAAGGTCTTTGTAAAAAAAAAAAAAGTAATACCATTTATTGTAAAAAAAAAGAGTTCTTATAAAAAAATAATAATACAACTAGTATTTTTTGTCATAAGAAAAAAAAATGAAAGGTTTTTTAATCAATTTCGCATTTTGTCAAAAAAATTTCTTATCAAAAAAATAAAAGGTTTTTTTTATCAATTTTTCTTTTTGTCAATTTTTTTTCTTATCAATAAAATAAAAAGTTGCTTATAAAAAAAAAATGAAAGGTTCTTATCAATTATTTTTCTTGTCAAATTTCTTTTTTTTATCAAAAAACTAAAAGGTTTTTGTCAAAAAAATAAAAAGTAATAAAAAGTTATTGTCAGAAAAAAAAGTTCTTATAAAAAAAAATAATACAACAAGTATTTTTTGTCAAAAAAAAGGTTATTGCTAAAAACAAAAAAAAATGTAATACGACAAACATTTTTTGTAAAAAAATAAAAGGTTTTTGTCAAAAAACTAAAATGTTCTTATAAAAAAACCATTCTTTATTGTAGTCTATGTATGAATATGTACTTCATCCATGATAGTTCCATGATTTTTA